GGTATAGAGTTTAGGGTTGAGGGTTTAGGGTTTAGGGTTTAGGGTTTAGGGTTTAGGGTTTAGGGTTTAGGGTTTAGGGTAGGGTTTAGGGGTAATTCCCACAAGAGAGCCTGGCAGCCATGACGTGAGACTTGTCAACTTTCCCGGTGCAGCTTGAGCCCGATGGCCGCGGATGGCAGGTCCGGTGACAAGGGTTTAGGGTGTTTAGGGTTTAGGGTTTAAGGGTTAGGGTTTAGGGTTTAGGGTGTAGGGTTTAGGGTTTAGGGTGTAGGGTTTAGGGTTTAGGGTTTAGGGTTTAGGGTTTAGGGTTTAGGGTTTAGGGTTTAGGGTTTAGGGTTTAGGGTTTAGGGTTTAGGGTTTAGGGTTTAGGGTTTAGGGTTTAGGGTTTAGGGTTTTAGGTTTAGGGTTTTGGGTTTAGGGTTTAGGGTTTAGGGTTTAGGGTTTAGGGTTTAGGGTTTAGGGTTTAGGGTTTAGGGTTTAGGGTTTAGGGTTTAGGGTTTAGGGTTTAGGGTTTAGGGTTTAGGGTGGAATCAATGAAAGAGTTCTCAAGATTCACCTGCTGTTTGTTGGGCGCGGCCTTCAGCGCCTCAAGGACCGTTTCAGCCCGGCAGGCAGCAGAGCCGGTTTAAGGTTCAGCTAAACCCTAAACCCTAAACCCTGAACCCTGAACCCTAAACCCTAAACCTCCCCCCCCCCCGCCTTCAAGGGGGTCCAGAAACTTCATTCTCAAGCACCCGAACATCGAAGCTGGTTTAGACCCCTCAGGCCAGTCTGCATTCTTCAACCACTTGGAGGCTACTAAGGTATATAGACTCTATAAGGCATGTAGGGACTCTATAAGGCATATAGGGACTCTATAAGGTCGATAGGGACGCTATAAGGTATATAGGGACTCTATAAGGTATATAGGGACTCTATAAGGTATACAGGGACTCTATAAGGCATATAGGGATTCTATAAGGTGTATATAGGGGTTTTTTTGGGGGGGGATAAGAGTAAGGATCCCTTCTAGGGGTCCCTCTGCCTGAAAGATGAGCGTGCTCCCCTGCAAGCTTGCTTGTAAGGAGTCCCTCGGGTCTTGCATAGGCTATCGGAACATGTCCCCAGACTCCGGTGACTCCGGGCCCTCTGCTTGAAGACGTCGTAACTTCGTCCCGGATAGTCCTCGAGGTCTCAAAGCAGCGACAGCACGTTGACATGAAACCTTTGTGAAACGCAAAGGATCTGACCCTTCTTGCGGTTCCGATAATTAGTTTCTTTTTGTGCATCTTGGGGCGGCGGGGGGGGGGGGGGGTTGTTTCACGTGATGAGTCAGTTATGATGTGTTATGGCTTGGTTCCGCCGTGTTTGGAGCTGCAGCCGCAATGGGGAGGGTTTTCGTCTACCGGTTCATGTGGCGTCCACCAAGATGCTATTCAAGGGCAACCCCTTGGCGCCATCCATCCGATCCATCTACTATAAGCAGCATCCCTACACCCTAAACCCTAAACCCTAAACCCTAAACGCCAAACCCTACACCCTAGAAAATACTGGGGAGACCTCTTGAGTCCTTGGAGAGATGCCATGAGGTACCCCAAGATTTGCGAGTCAACCCTAAACCCTAAACCCCAAACCCTAAACCCTAAACCCTAAACCCTGAACCCTGAACCCTGAACCCTAAACCCTAACCATAAACCCTCAACCCCAAAACCCCCAAAGAAAAACCTCAGGGCTTGCAGCCGCATCGGTCGGGCCTCAATCATGTCGCGAAGCACAGCGTTGACAGACTCGATGGACAACCTAAGCTCCCAACCGGCATCGGCAGCATTCTTTGGAGAGGACGCTTTGTTGGGGTTTCGGGCTTGGGGAGATGACAGCTTGAGTGGATGCCAGTGAGCTTCCACCAAGAAAGATGGTCTGATCCAGCAAGCTGCCTCACAGACCACGAAAAATGGGGAGAAGCATTCTCGACGACTGAACATGGGGGGAAAGAATCCCCATCCTTGGCAGACCGCCAAGTGAGGCCAAGCAGCTTCGTGTATCCAAGGAAGATAGTCCTCAGAGTGCCGGCTCACCAGCGCGGAGGAAGTGCTATAACATATTTGTAGGATACTGAGATCGTAGAATACTAGACTCTGCTCCGCTAACAAAAGGTTACCATATGGCAATGTCACCATCTGACAACTTGATTACTTGACAATACAAACCACATGATGATGTGATGATATGACACTGACACAAACAAGATTTCGATAATACAGTTGCAATAACATATAGTAATGCCATGCTACGAAAGATGTGATTGTTAAAACATGTCTAATATACTGCACATTGTACACCATTCGCTATACCATATGCATGCTCTTGCCTTTGGCTAGTTTCTCGAAAAAAAGATAATGCCTAAGTTCTCTTATCGAACACATTTGTACAATGCATGATGCACATTTTGACATGTAGAATGTAAGCAATGCACACAGAGTATGCAAGACATATAGAATTTGAGGCATCGGTGAAGATACAATTTCAAATTCAAACATATCTTCTCAGCCGGTCGTTGCAGGAGAGCAGCGGTGACGAAGGCATGCCCAGTCCGTGCTGAAAAGGGAGCTGAAGACTTAGAAGCAGTTCTTAGTAAGGGAAAACTCAATGAAGTCTCTGATACCCCTTGAAACAACCCTGTCTAAAGGGGTTGTATAGAGGGGTATTTTATTTTAAATGGGTGTCTCAAGTGACTTATTTCCCCCGATTCTCCCCCACCAAGAACCTGTAAGTCTGTAAGTGTTGCCTGGGACCACGAGAGATGCAACTAAAGCCCTGAGCGGCCCTAAATCCCTAAAGAACCAAAACACAAAGCCCCGAAACCAGAAACACCAAAAAACCCACAAAATACCAAACCCCCAAACCCCCAAAAGCCCCCAAAAACCCGCAACCCCCCCCCCCCCCCCACCAAAAAAAACACCACAAAACCCCCCAAAAACCCCCCAAAACCCAAAAACCCAAAAACACAAAACCAACAAAAAAACAAAAAACTTGAAAACCTTAAAAGCAGCTCAAGGAAGTGAATCTCCGGGCCCCCAGCTCGCGAAAGCTGTGACTCGGATCGCGGCGCGGTGGCACGCCAAAGACTCCAGGCCTGCCACTGCTTGGAGGTTCATGGTACTTACTGACCAATTATAACTGTACTGATAACTGTACTTACAAACATATTAGGGTTTAGGGTTTAGGGTTTAGGGTTTAGGGTTTAGGGTTTAGGGTTTAGGGTTTAGGGTTTAGGGTTTAGGGTTTAGGGTTTAGGGTTTAGGGCACTTAAGGGGCCTATAAGTGGGTTATAAGTACAGTTCTAGTTGGTTCATAAGTACCGTGAACCTCCAAGTGGGCCCCGGAAAACAACCTGAACCCCAGACCCCAAAGTTGGGTTTGGGGTTTAGGGTTTAGGGCTTAGGGCTTAGGGTTTAGAGCTCAGGGTTTAGGGTTTAGGGTTTAGGGTGTAGGGTTTAGGGTTTAGGGATGAGGGTTTATGGTCTAGGGTCTAGGGTCTAGGGTCTAGGGTCTAGGGTCTAGGGTCTAGGGTCTAGGGTCTAGGGTTTAGGGTTTATAGAAATTGTATAGGGTTTGGGTCCCAATAATGTTTTGACCGAAACGTTTTGACCGAAACGCTTTGTTTTTTTAACTATGTGTCTTTTTTTCTTGGGGGGAGGGGGTGAGAGAATGGGGGTCATTTGGGGGGGAGATCTGGGGGAGATCTGGGGGGAGATCTGGGGGGAGATCTGCGGGCAGATTGGGGGTGGGGGAGAGATCTGGGGGCGGATGTGAGGGAGATTGGGGGAGGAGAGATCTGGGGAAGGGATGAGGAGGGGAGGAGAGGAGGGGATGAGAGCAGGGGATGAGAGGAGGGGATGAGGGGATGAGAGGAGGGGATGAGGGGAGGGGAGGAGGGGGAGGGGAGGGGGAGGGGAGGGGGGGGGGGGGGGAGGGGAGGGGGAGGGGGGCGGAGGGGGAGGAGTGAGGGGAGGAGGGGGAGGGGGGGGGGGGGGGCGGGTGGTAGGGGAGAGGTTTAAGTAAATTGAGCATTTGGTCTCAGAGTGGTTTGGCTTAATTCACTTAAACTCAGCTTGTCAGCTGTTTAGACAAAAAATTCGGAAAATTCAGAATAAGACCACATACAATTTCTACTTTTTTATCTTGACAGTTTATATCAATATTAGGGTTTGGGGTTTAGGGTTTGGGGTTTAGGGTTTAGGGTCTAGGGTTACCATATATAGCGCCAGACCGATGCGAAGCGGCTCTGAGACCCACGCCGGGTAGAGGTAAAGGTCTTGCCATATGACCTCGGAGCCCGAAACCCTAAACCCTAAACCCTAAGCCTTAAACCCCAAACCCTAAACCCTGAACACTATAAACCGACAAGCCATCCGAACACTTTCCGATGTCGTCACGATGCTAATTCACGCGGAACGGAAGCGCAAAACCGGGTCTTCCACAGCCCCCAAAGACCCTAAACCCTAAACCCTAAAACCCTAAAACCCTGAAATCCCTAAACCCTAAACCCTAAACCCCCTAAACCCACAATCCCCAACCTCAAAACTCACTCATGGCATGGGCGTGGTCCGACTCCCGGACGCTCAGGTGCAGACCACTCGATGCCTTGAATCTCAACTGCAACGTGGAAGACCCCGCCTAACTTGACCTCGGAGGTTTTCTGAGGGGCTTTGGGTTTCGAGTTTAGAGTTGAGGGTTGGGGTTTAGGCTGTTCGAGTTGTAGGGTCTTAGGGTGAAGGGTTGTATATAAGGTTTTAGGGTTCTAGGGTTCGATGGTTCTGGGGTTTTAGGGTTCTAGCGTGGTTTTGTATGCAATCCTCGCTAGGTTGCCCACAGTCCTGACTTCGTCAAGTGCCAATCTCGCACCTTTTGTCTGCATCGTGTGGGAGCAGGACAAACAGTCCAAGCTCCTCCAACTGCCAAGCTGCCCTAAACCCTAAATCATAAAGATTCCGTTCTACGCTGCTACGCCTACCTCCGTCTCAGACTGCCCCTCGATCTCCAACTGGCACAATCCCCGCTTTGCGGAAGATCCCGCGCGCTTGCTCGGAGAAGTCTCGATGCTCCTGCCACCCAAGGATCAGGCATCACCACAAACCATAAGGACTCTACTCCGGGGATATCACTCAGGTCAAGCAACCCATCCCAAGTCCTAAACCCCCAACGAAGGGGGTTCCTTAGATTAGGGTCTTGGGGTTTGCAATCAAAGAGATCCCAGATGTGATTGCCTCAAACGATCAGAGTCTCCCTAAAAATACGGACCCCAACAAGGTACCTGTACTTCGGAAACCCTAAACCCTAAAAAACGACCTAAGCCCTAAACCCTAAAAAACAGCCTAAGCCCTAAACCCTAAACCCCAAACATTAAACCGCACACCCAAAACCCAAAACCCGAAACCCTAAACCCTACACAAGCCGGTAAAGCAGGTGAGCCATGGGCCTCCGGAGCAACGCCCTCGTTGGCGGTAGCATCGCGCAGGCGCTCGGACCTTGCCTTCTGGCTTTCTTTGTGGTGTAGGGTTGAGGGTTGAGGGTTGAGTGAGGGTTGAGGATTGAGGGTTGAGGGTTGAGGGTTTAGGGTTTAAGGTTTAGGGTTTAGGGTTTAGGGCTTAGGGTTTAGGGTTTAGGGTTTCGGGTTTCGGGTATAGGGTTCAGCATCTCAAGTTCGAGCTTTTACTAGGCCAGCAGTGTGTCTAGGCAACGGAAAAAACCCACCCGCCCAAAGAATCCCATAACATTAAGAAAATAGAAGGTTCATTATTTTCTCTTCGGATGCACCAATACAATCACGCCGTAGTACCAAGCACTTAACACAAGCCTTGAAACCCTAAACGCCAGGCCTTGAGGCCCTGAAACCCTAAACACTAGGCCTTGAGGCCCTGAAACCCTCAACACCAGGCTTGAAACCCTAAACACCAGGCCTTGAGGCCCTGAAACCCTAAACACCAGGAAACCCTAAACACCAGGCCGTGAGGCCTTGAAACCCTAAACACCTTGAGGCCCTGAAACCCTAAGGCCTTGAAACCCTAAACGCCAGGCCTTGAGGCCCTGACACCCTAAACACCACGCCTTCAGGCCCTGAAACCCTAACCAGAACTTGAGGCCTTGACCCAAACCCTAAACCCTGAGCCCTAAACCCTGAATTAGCCCTAAACCCCAAAAGCCAAACCCTAAACCCTAAACCCTAAACCCTAAACCCTAAAACCCTAAACCCTAAACCCTAAACCCTAAACCCTAAACCCTAAACCCTAAACCCTAAACCCTAAACCCTAAACCCTAAACCCTAAACCCTAAACCCTAAACCCTAACCCTAAACCCGAAACCCTAAACCCTAAACCCCAAACCCCGAGCCCGAATCCCGACCATGCGCAATGCCAAGCCTGGCCTGGAGCTCCTGAAGCTCGTCTGGCACCTCAGGCGTTGAGGGTCTAGGGTTTAGGGTTTAGGGTTTAGGGTTTAGGGTTTAGGGTTTAGGGTTTAGGGTTTAGGGTTTAGGGTTTAGGGTTTAGGGTTTAGGGCCTGAATGCTCTGGAGGAGGGGGGGGGGTATGGTCCAGAGGAATGTACTCCCGACAAGCCCGATAAACCGCATAAGCCCCATAAACCTTACGAACCCCAGAAACCCACCCCATAAGCGCAGAAACGCCAACTACAAACCCCCTAAACTCCCGAAGCCCTATAAACCCCACAAATCCTTGACAAACCATACACCCAAAAAGCACCCTCAGCCCTGGAAACTCTGTAAGCCCTATAAAGCCTGTAAACCCTGAAGCCCACGCCCTAAACCCTAAACCCTAAACCCTAACCCTAAACCCTAAACCCTAAACTCCTAGACCCTCAACCCCTAGAGTCTCAACCCTAGAAGCCCTCAACCCTAGAAGCCCTCAACCTTAGAAACCCTCAACCCTAAACCCTCAACCCAATGAACCCTATGAATCCTCAACCCTAAACCCTAAACCGTAACAACCCTAAGCCGTAAACCCTCAGACCTAAGACCCTAAAAACCCCTAACCCTAAACCCTAAACCCTAAACCCTAAACCCTAAACCCTAAACCCTAAACCCTAAACCCTCTAAGCCCTCCAGGGTCTTCCTGGGGTGCTGGGGCCCCCGGCTCTGGGCTCCCAGTCCGTGTGGCGGAGCACCGACACCGTCATCCAATCCTCGTGGCTGCTTTGGGAGTTCGGGGTTCGGAGTTTGGGGTTTGGGGCTTGGGGTTTGGGGTTTAGGGTTTGGGGTTTCGGAGTTTGGGGTTTAGGGTTTAGGGTTTGGGGTTTGGGGTTTGGGGTTTGGGGTTTGGGGTTTGGGTTTAGAGTTTAGGGGCACCCTTTTGGGCCTGTAGGGGCTTTGGGGGGCTTGTAAGGCTCTTGTTCTTTCAAGGGCTTCTAGACCTGAAGACGTGCCGCCTCCTCGTCAGGCTTCGACACTTCCTGCACAGGCATCACGAGCGTCCGAAAGCCTGTCGCTCAGGTGGTCTCGGCCGATTCCAAGGGGCGGTTGCTTTCAGATCGGGGCCTCCGACCGACTATCTTCTTAGGCGTTTGGCCCTCCCAAAAAAAGGAACACTTGTGACAAACAAATCCCCACACAGAGCGCCCTCCCCCCACTTGGATCTCACGCCCTGGCCTCGGCCCGCCACACGCCCGGCGAACTCTGCCGCGCCGGTGCGAAGGACGTTGTCCTCGAAAGAAGGGGCTCTCGGAAAGGCACACCCATCGGCGACCCAAAATAGGCTCCTCATGCCAGCCCTGAACCCTAACCCCTAAACCCTTCACCCTAAGCCTAAGCCTATCAGGTGTGGGGGCAGGGCTACTTGTTCTAGGGACTCTTCAGGGGCTTGCCCAGAATGGCAGGGTTTCAGGAGGTTTTCTGGGGCTGTCCGGGAAGTGTGGGCAGACCTTCGGCCCCATGTGTTCGGGGTTTAAGGTTTAGGGTTTAGGGTTTAGGGTTTAGGGTTTAGGGTTTAGGGTTTAGGGTTCAGGGTTCGGGGTTCAGGGTTTAGGGTCGGATGTAATATGTGGGCCTGTTGCATTAGCATCGGTGTTTTGGTGAGTTAGATTTGTGACGGGATACATGGCGATAGCATCTGGTGATTATTTCGGCTCCATCTGAACCAAAAAAACCCTACACCCTAAACCCTACACCGTAAACTCTAAACCCTAAACCCTAAACCCTAAACCTAAACCTAAACCATAAACCCTAAGCCCTAACGACTTTGCCTGCTTAGACTCTGCTATGAGCACCGACCCCGGCAACAGCAGCCCATGGCGATGAATGAGGGCCTCGGCTCAAATAAAGGGCAACAAATTTAGGGGTTTAGGGTTTGGGGGTTTAGGGTTTAGGGTTTAGGATTTAGGATTTAGGGTTTAAGGTTTAGGGTTTAGGGTTAAGGGTTTAGGCCAACTGAGACCCGCGCTGGGATTCATCCCAGCTGAAAAACAAACAGAAGAAAGACAAACGCTCCCAAACCACCCCGCCAGCAAGGGCCTCAGGTCCGACCCTCGTCCGCACACTCACGTTGAGGGTTTAGGTTTTAGGGTTTAGGGTTTAGGGTTTAGGGTTTAGGGTTTAGGGTTTAGGGTTTAGGGCTTAGAAACTTAGGGCTTAGGGCTTAGGGTTTAGGGTTTAGGGTTTAGGGTTTAGGGTTTAGGGTTTAGGGTTTAGGGTTTAGGGTTTAGGGTTTAGGGTTTAGGGTTTAGGGTTTAGGGTTTAGGGTTTAGGGTTTAGGGTTTAGGGAGCAACGTTGACGGTCTCGACTTGGGGATTAGGGAACTGGGACGAAAGCTAACCCTAAACCCTAAATCCTAAATCCCAAGCCCTAAGCTTGCCAAGCACATCGAACCCTGGCCCGACAGCTGCTTCGTGTGCCCGCGTTCTGTTGGGTTTCGGGTTTCGGGTTTCGGGTTTCGGGTTTCGGGTTTCGGGTTTCGGGTTTCGGGTTTCGGGTTTAGGGTTTAGGGTTAGGGTTTAGGGTTTAGGGTTTAGGGTTTAGGGTTTAGGGTTTAGGGTTCGGGTTTAGGGTGTAAGGTGAGTCCTCCCAGGCCCGGGTGCAAGGCCGGCAGAGGGCAGCATTATGAGTATCAGGCCCCAGTCTAGCATCATGAGCATCATGTTGCGGTCCTGCTTCTCCCCGGAACGAGGTCACGTTTGGCCCAAGGCTTGGGGCCAACACCCTAAACCCTAAACCCTACCTAAACCCTAAACCCCAAACCCTACACCCTAAACCCTACACCCCAAACCCTAAACCCCAAACCCTAAACCCCGAACCCCAAACCCTAAACCCTAAACCCTAAACCCCCAATGGTACGACAGCAAGGAGCCAGGACTTCGGCATACTGCGCGCCCCAGACATCCACGAAGATGGCTGCGAAGCGCCGGCCCTCCAACGCCGGGAGTCGGAGCCTGCAAGCATAGCTTGTTTCGGGTTTAGGGTTTAGGGTTTAGGGTTTAGGGTTTAGGGTTTAGGGTTTAGGGTTTAGGGTTTAGGTTTAGGGTTTAGGGTTTAGGGTTTAGGGCTTGTGGGGTTTAGGGTTTCTAGGGCTTATAGGGTGTAGGGTTTCTAGTGCTTATTGGGGTCTTCTAGGGCTTGTAGGGGAAGTTGAGGGTTTCTCAGGCTTGTAGGGTGTAGGGTTTCTAGGGCTTGGAGCGTTGCGGGTTTCTGCAGGGTTTAGGGTTTCTAGGCTTACAGGGTTGAGGGTTTGCGGGGCTTATCAAATTTAAGGTTTCTGGGGCTTAGAGGGTTTAGGGTTCGCAGGGCTTCTAGGGTCAAGGCTGAAAGGCATCCCCGCAAAGACCCACATAGGTTTAGAATTGCCGGGGGCTTTTAAGTTACATGGTCGGCAGGCTTCTCGGGTAGGGCTCATAGATCTCATGTTGGGCATACTGCGTAGATTTACCCTAAACCCTAAACCCTAAACCCCAAACCCCTAATTCTTGGACTGCGCCCGGTTGATTCGAAGAGCCGGCACGACAATAGGTGTAGGAAACTCAGGGGCCGTTGAGAGAGATTCCAAATAGTGGGGTTTAGGGCTTAGGGTTTAGGGTTTAGGGTTCAGGGTTTAGGGTTCAGGGTTCAGGGTTCAGGGTTCAGGGTTCAGGGTTTAGGGTTTAGGCTTTAGGGTTTAGGGTTTAGGGCTTAGGGTACAATGTGGACCCCAGTAAGGTACCCCTAATTTCAGAAACCACATAGGTTGAGGACAGGTACTCCCACATAATCTGAGAATTAGGGGCTTGTCAGGCTTCTGGGGTCTTGCGGGGCTTATGGGCTTGTTGCAGGCTAACCCTAAACCCTAAACCCTAAACCCTAGACCCTAAACCCTAAACCCTAAACCCTAAACCGGAGGAGGAACCCTTGCCAAGCAACGAGCCTTGAGTAAAGAGCTCTAGCAAGAGTGGGAACGCCGCACACCGAGGCCAAGTAGGGAAGCCCAGCAGGAACTGCAAGATCGACATCATTTAGGGTTTAGGGTTTAGGGTTTAGGGTTTAGGGTTTAGGGTTTAGGGTTTAGGGTTTAGGGTTTAGGGCAAAAACCGAAAAATATACCAACATACCCATAGACCAACCCTACGAGATATACTACAGATAGAGTAGTATACCCATATACCAACCTACGAAATATGGTAAAGATAGAGAAATATACCCATATGCCAACCTACGACATATGGTAAAGATAGAGTCATATACCCATATACCAAATCTACGGATCGAATCTGCTCATTTAATCATAGAATCGTATGACTTGCAAAGGCGTGGAGGACTGCTGCCAGGCTGCCGAGTGTGGCCCGGAAGCACATGCACACGGTCACCCACGCCTGAATGGTTCAGGGTTTAGAGTTTAGGGTTTAGGGTTTAGGGTTTAGGGTTTAGGGTTTAGGGTTTAGGGTTTAGGGTTTAGGGTTTAGGGTTTAGGGTTTAGAGTATTAACTAGTAACATAGCAGTAGCAAGACAGTATTGCGGTAAGAAGTGATACAGCAATACAGCCCTATACTCTTGTAACAACATAACATCAGAGGCCCTTCCTCTTCCGGGATGCGGGTTCGAGGCCGAAGCGCACCCAACACCCAGCCAGGGGACCAGCAAAGCCCAGCAAGCAGCGTGCCAGGGCAACCATCCTTGCGGGGCTTGCAAGGAGGTGCCAAGACCAAAGACACACCCTAAACCCTAAACCCTAAACCCTAAACCCTAGACCCTAGACCCTAGACCCTAAACCCTAAACCCTAAACCCACACACACACACACTAGTTTCCCCAAACCAAGCCTTGACTTGAGTCTGTGGCCTAGCTCTCACGCACACCTGTATCACACCTGTCTCCCTAACCCCCAAAAGCGCCCAAACCCCCCAAACCCCCCAAACCCTACATCGGCCCCCCTAAACCCTAAACCCTAAACCCTAAACCCCAAACACCTTCATGCCAGGCTTCACAGGATCCAGCTCGATGGCGGTCACATGCACCCCTGTCCCGCCGGCATTGTGCCCAGACACCGAACGAGTTATTCAAACCTTGTACCCTAAACCCTAAACCCTAAACCCTAAACCCTAAACCCTAAACCCTAAACCCTAAACCCTAAACCCTAAACCCTAAACCCTAAACCTAAACCCTAAACCCTAAACCCTATTCTTCCGGGGGCTTAGGTTTGTTTAGGGCAAATGGCAATTTAGGTTCTTTTGTTTCTTTTCTGGAGTCACTCTTTCCATTTTGGGGTATCGGGTTTAGGGTGTAGGGAGATCTAAACCCTAAACCCTAAACCCTAAACCCTAAACCCTAAACCCTAAACCCTAAGCTTTAAACCGTAAAGTTTCAAGCTGGATCAGACGGAGGAACTTGAGCGAGCCAAGGCCCCTGAAACGCTCCAGCCGAATCGGTCCAAGGTAACATGACCTCCTAAGCGGGTTTAGGGTTTAGGGTTTGGGGTTTGGGATTTAGGGTTTCGGGTTTAGGGTTTAGGATTTCGGGTGTAGGGCCTAGGCCCTGTAAAGTATGGGGCTTCTCTGGGTCTCTGTGCTGCATCTTCCTCCTATACAAAACCCTACATCCAAACTCGAAGACTCTGATCCCTAAACCCTACACCCGCTAAACCCCAAATCCCAAACCCCCGGCCTGGGAGAGCTTGGGCAAGGTGGAGAGCCGACCCACCACCTGAGACGCTTTAGGGTTTTAGGCCCTTTAGTCCTGATTTTAGGGCTGGGGGCGGGGGGGGTCGGGGGGGGCGCTTGTACTAACAGTCCTTACTTGGAAAGGGGGTACTATAACCCTATTAAGGACTGTAAGAGGGGAGTTAGGAGGTCTAGGGCAGCTTAGAAACATGTCAGTGACCGGCGTGCTTCTCGGCTCGCCCGCGCTTCAGGTATGCTGCAGGGCATTCAGAGAGGGTTTCGGGTTTGGAGTTTAGGGTTTAGGGTATAGGGTTTAGGGTTTAGGGTTTGGGGTTTAGGGTTTAGGGTTTAGGGTTTAGGGTTTAGGGTTTAGGGTTTAGGATCCCTCGAGACGAGAACAACGAGAGGAGGGATCTCTCCGGCATTGTCGGATGCAGCCGGCACGCCGTAGGCACCAATGTCCAGGACGTGCTTGGGCGAAGGCGCTGCCCCGGCGGAGCCCAGCAGCCTGAGGGCAGGCCCTCATGTAGGGGGCGGGGGGGGGGGGGTTTTGTGGGTTCCCTTCGAGCAGGAACCCTAAACCCTAAACCCGAAACCCTAAACCCTGAACCCTAAACCCGAAACCCCCCTAAACCCTAAACCCTAAATTAAACCGTAAACCCTGGACCCTGAACCCTGAACCCTAAACCCTAAACCCTAAACCCTAAACCCTAAACCCCTTCTCGGGGGTAGCTATGCTCATGCAGCCTTTGCAGGCGCGGAGCAGGATCTTCGCCTTGCTCCCGGCAGCAAACTTCGCCCAGCCACCTCTGGTCATCACAGGGCCGATGCAAGATTTCAAGCCCCAGGGTTTAGGGTTTAGGGTTTAGGGTTTAGGGTTTAGGGTTTAGGGTTTAGGGTTTCGGGTTTCGGGTTTAGGGTCTAGGGTTTAGGGTTTAGGCCCTTGCATCAGACCCGCTTAATATCAAGGGCTCATGTAAGTACCCTTAGACTCCAGCAAATCTTGAGCCACTGTGGCCTCAATCAGAAACGCAACAACCAAGTGAGGGTGCTCTTACATGCAGCCCTAACTCACGCCTTGACACCCCCTGTAACGAACCCCTAAACCCTAAACCCTAAACCCGAAACCCTAAACCCTAAACCCCCTAAACCCCCTAAACCCTAAACCCCCCAACACCCAAACCGCTCGGGCCCCTCCCAAGCCGTGCAGTTGCGCCGCCGGCGCTGCCCAGCTCTGCGCCGAAATCTCAGTTGGGAGCTCCCACACTCTCGCGAACCCCGAACCCCAAGCCCTAAACCCTAAACCCTGAACCCTAAACCCTAAACCCCGAACCCCAGACCCCTTGAATCTGACTTTGTTACAAAAGCGTCAGATTTGCGGAATCAGATGAAACTAGGTCCGAAGGACACATCCCTAGAAGCCTGTGGTCCTAAGCATCCCAAAGCCCTAAACCCCAAACCCTAAACCCTGAAACCTAAACCCTAAACCCTAAACCCTCAACCCTAAACCCTAAACCCTAAACCCTGAACCCTAAACCCTAAACTCTGCTCACGAAGTTCTCAAGAAGCCAGGTGGCTCTCCATTTGCTGAACCACGGATGCTGCGTCACCTGGCTGTGCCAGATCCACCACACGCCTGGCAAGCAGGGTTTGGGATGTGGGGGGCTTGAAACTGAGGATTTCGGGCATTGGGGGGGGTCAAAAGGGCAGCATCGCACGCCAAACTCACCGGCCAACCTGAGCAGTGCCACCTCCTTCTGGTAGGGACGCCTGGCCGCATTCTTTGAGGTGCAGGGTTTAGGGTTTAGGGTTTTGGGTTTAGGGTTTAGGGTTTAGGGCTTAGGGTTTAGAGTTTAGGGTTTTATCCGAATCCAGGTGCACTTGGTGTAGGCAGAAGATCGGAGCTTGTGCGATCCTGCTGCGCTCCATGCAAGAAACCTGGAGACGTGCCGATGACATGGGGTCAAGCCTAAACGGGAATGCTCACAACTCTGTGAATTGCCTGCATGGCTCGTATGCCAGCCACGTTACGACTGAATTCGACTGACTTCGTCCCTAAACCCTAAACCCTAAAATAGAGGTCGAAACGGCCCCGCCCTTTTCGAGATGCACAGAACGACGTCTTATGCGAGGAGCCCAAACTACCTTCACTGCAAAATGCAAAAAGTCTAAGACATGAAAACAATTATGCATACATATATCTAGATGTAGTATAACACATACTAATGATTCGAAACAATATGTATATATATATATATATGAAATATATATATATATAAATGCACACACACACACACACAACTTTATGTATTTACACATCTATATATTCATATGTGTATTTCTGCTTATATTGGTCTTTTTTCTGTACCTGCTGAGGAGCTCCTTGAACTACCCCCGAAAACCTAAACCCTAAACCCGAAACCCTAAACCCCCTAAACCCCCTAAACCCCCTAAACCCCCTAAACCCCCTAAACCCTAAACCAACCACACAACCACACCACAGGGAGGGGGGGGGGGACCTCCCGGTGATGGCGCCCCCGCCCAAGGCCCCGCGCAGCTGCGCCGCCACGCCCAAGGGGTTCAACTTGGAGGCCGAGAGGGGGCGGAGAGTGTTTAGGGTTTAGGGTTTAGGGTTTAGGGTTTAGGGTTTAGGGTTTAGGGTTTAGGGTTTAGGGTTTAGGGTTTAGGGTCTAGGGTTTAGGGTTCAAGGTTCAGGGTTAGGGTTTGGGGTTTGGGGTTTAGTGGGGAGGGTGGGGGGGAAGTTGTGGTCAGTCAAGCTCGCTCAAATAGCTGCTTACCCTCCCCCTGTGGCCCTTCGGGTCAAGAGTCACTCGGATAGCCAGCTGCCGTGGCCAACGCCTGCTGATCACTGGCTGGTTCATAGTAGGGAATGAGGGAATGAGGGCCCTATATATACCCTTTAAGGGATTGTATCGGGCCCTCATTCCCTCATTCCCTACTAAGAACCAGGGGGATCAGTGCTGTTCCGGTAACACACTGCGAGAACGCTGACGATGCTGAACCAAAAATGGGCTCCGATGGGATGGATAGGACAGGGGTTCTTCCTCACCGCGTTGGGGATCTAGGGATCTGTCCCCAAAGGAGAAGAGTTCAAGAGCAGAGAGAGGAGAGGGAGAGCAACAAGAGCTCCCTGTGCCGACCCGCCTGGCCCAGCCCTCCAAGGCCACCTCGGCAGGGGAGCTCAGCTTATTGTGCGGGAAGTAGAGAGTTGGTTTGGGGTTTCGGGTTTCGGGTTTAGGGTTCAGGGTTTAGGGTTTAGGGTTTAGGGTTTAGGGTTTAGGGTTTAGGGTTTAGGGTTTAGGGTTTAGGGTTTAGGGTTTAGGGTTTAGGGTTTAGGGTTTAGGGTTTAGGGTTTAGGGTTTAGGGCTTAGGGCTTAGGGTTTAGGGTTTAGGGTTTAGGGTTTAGGGTGTAAGTTCTCTACCTTCATATCCACCCCAAAAAGGACTAGATAGGGAACCTAGTTCCCATACTCCCTACATAGTATGGCGGCAGACAGTTCTATGGGGAGCTGCGAAGAAACTTCGGGCATGAACGTCGACGAAAGAGGAGCGCGTTCTCTGAATCGCAGCATCTGCTTCATTTAAGGTTTAGGGTTGAGGGTTTAGGGTTCAGGGTTTCGGGTTATCTGCTTCGAGCTTCCTCCATGGGCACAGCCATCACTGCCTGGCCCCTAAACCCTAAACCCTAAACCCTAAACCCTAAACCCTAAACCCTAAACCCTATGAGGAAACCTCCCGAGGTCCCTCCTGTCTACTAGGAGGTTTTCGAACTCACCCACCTCTTGCAGCGACCCTGAACCCTAAACCCTAAACCCCCAAACCTTCTCACATCCAGGTCTCTGAACTCTGCCCCTAAACCCCTAAGCCCTAACCCCCGAAGCCCCCCTAAACTCCCCTAAACCCCCCTTAACCCCCCTAAACCGCCCTAAACCCCCCTAAACAACCCCTAAACAACCCCTAAACCCCCCAAAAGCCCCCTAAACCCCCTAACCCTAAACCCCTATAAACCCCACAGAACCGCAGACCCGCGGCTCGCGTGCGCCGCCCTGGCCAGATCTTGGAAGAGCTGCCGCCCGGCGGGGTGTCCTGGGCCCAGGTGCACTTGGGCCTGTTCTGGGGGCCTCTTGGGGGTTTCGGGTTTAGGGATTAGGGTTTAGGATTTAGGGTTTAGGGTTGGGGGGTAAAGGAACTTTAGCTACCGCGGACATCTAGTACACCAGGATATGCTCTGGGAATGCCGCTGTTAAGGACCATAAGTTGGGCCACCACAATGTGGGTACATCGCACCCCATAAACTTTTATTTCTGGGGTCACTTCACTTCAGCGGCAACCCAAAGATTCGGATTGTGGGCGTTCATGCATCATCTTTCGACATGCAGATTCCGACTCAGCACGCAGTACTTGATGCAAGAGCAGCTTGTGCTGCTGTCACCATTTGGGGGTTTACGCAAAATGGGGGGGGGACCCCCATTACAGAACCCCAAATAGTAGGATTCCCCTCATACTAAGGACCGAAAGAGGGCTAGTTTCGGAACCCCCCCCCCCATGTCTTATGCTTCGTCCAACCATCCCAACCTTCGTCTTCGCAGAGGCAGGCGAGGGCTCCCAGAACCTGCAGGAGCTGCGCGCTTTCGGCGTGCAGGGGCGACTGTTATAGGGGGTTCCAGGGGGGCATATCACCCAAGGTTCCCTAACACTCCCTACTACTCCCCTAAACCCTAAACCCTAAACCCTAAACCCTAAACCCTAAACCCTAAACCCTCCAAAATACTGAGGCGACTGCAGAGGTGGACTTTCGTTCCACGGTGCGAACAACCGAGGAGTGAGGCTTTTGCACGAAGAAATCATCTTCAGCTAGTCAAAGTGGTACATGTCAAAGGCTGCAGGCACTACTTGAAAAAGGAGTGGTCGCACAAATTAGCACACTTGCTGATTCTGGTCTAGTGTGCTGACAAGAGCATTGCTGCACCTGCCGCCCATCAACGCTACAACGATTCTCGGAGCAGCTGTCAAAAGGAGAAATGC